CATATTCCATTTTAACCATAATTGTGTCAATTAGCCAAACAAAAAAAAAAACTAACAAGTTTCTTTATATATGTTGTCTTTTATTTATTTCTGAAGGCAAATCAATTTTGTTCTTTATATTTCAATAAGCATTACAAATTAGGAGATTCAGACAGTTAATAAAATCTTGGAAATTATAAATATTTAGAATTAATTTTTGATTCCTATGATACACCAACTTTTCAATTTTGAAATTATTTATTTTATATGGCTCACTATAGAAAAATGGATGGTATTTTTGTATTTTGGGCTTTGTATTTCTGTAAAAATAAGACACGCTTGTCCGCTGCATCATGGTTAGTAAATCAAAGCACATTATGAGGACTGACAATTTATCAACAGAATAACTCAATTTTCCCCATATGGTACAACAGAGACTACTATTTTTAACGGATACACCCAGTTTTTTCATCAGTCATCATTACTCTGTTGTTGTTTTTCGTATCTCTAGTTATTGCATACACACACATATATGCACTTGTGAGTGTGTAATACGATCTTGATCATATAAGCATTATTAATATTAATTAATGTATTTCTTATATGGGAATATATAGTTACAAATTTTATATTTTTGAAGAACCCACACGCAAAATGTGAATCTGTTTTTAAAATATTTTGCAAGAAAACGAATATTTAGACTGAAATTTGTCAAATCCCTTTCGAGAGAAATTAATTATCATCGTCACAGCTAGTTTAATGTCAGTAAACTTTTGATCTGGAAAGAATAAACTAAATATCTTTCATAAAAACTTTTTAGGAGTTTCAATTTATTTCAAATACATTTGAATATTTACAATTTGGTAGAAATTCGCAAATAGATATATTCTCTGATATTATATAATACACACATTTGAAAAATCCCACCAACAATAAGAAATGCTAAGAATTATAGATGAGTCAGTTGAAGACTATCACAGATAGTTAATATAAAGAAGCAAAAAACATTAATGTCTCAAAGAGGTTTATATCATAAACAAAAATGTGTGAAATTATTTGTTTGAAAATCTTTGTCGTGAGATTTGGTAATAATGCCTATCACATAAGTTCAAAAACATTAAATCTTCAATTCAGTAAATTATTGATATATTAAACTTCAAAGTTATTAGAACATGTAAGTTATTAACTGAAACTCATGTCAACAAATATTTCAAACAAACATCACAGTTTCAAGATCCTGTTTATCTCCCTAATCTGCAAATGTTTTCTTGTGTAATTCCTGTTTATCTCCCTAATCTGCAAATGTTTTCTTGTGTAATTCCTGTTTATCTCCCTAATCTGCAAATGTTTTCTTGTGTAATTCAAAGCAACTAATGTCAATCACTTCCTTTGCATCTCATAGAAAATAAAAGCTTAATATTATCAATCTTATGTCATTAGAATTTAAAATATCCATATTTGGAGCAATATTTATGTGATACTCAGCCTATACAAGTCATATATATAAATTCAAAATATACCTAAAACGCAGAAACATGTAACACCATACTTTGTAATAACACATCTAACACCAACTCAGTAGAACTGATCAAATTAGTTTAAGTCCAAGATCCACTTTGAACTTTATTATTTAATCTAAGGATATTTGACTACGCATGGTCTAAACATTTTTAAATAATGGCCAATATCTTTTAAAATACAAATAATAACTGATTTATCACCATGTTTCAATATTTTAGTAGTCTTGGATACTATGTCTAGCATTACTTCATGAAAGATAAGGCGGTAAATATAAAAATATTAAACTAATGTTTTATTTACTAGCTTCACTGTATACCACTATAGTTCAAGGTGTGGAAAAAAACAGCGGTAACATAATTGTGAACGATTTTGTGTTTTCTGCATTCAATATAGTTTTTAACTTTAACACTGTATCTGTTGTTTTCATACACGAGATATCCCCGGTAGGTCAGAGGTACGTTTACAGACTTACAATAGTAAAATTCGGGGCTCATTTCACAGCAGTGGACAGAATGCAGGTAGCCCATCATGTAGTTTTTCGCGACAACAACAACAACTATACGTGACATAATAATAATGTAAAATATATCAAATTTCTCTAAAAATGAGATATTAATAACTTGCTAAAAATATCCATACTTTGATATTACGTCAAACAATAATCTTTAAATTAATAATTACTGCTAGAAAATTTCATCACTCTCAGACCTAGACTTTTTTTTTTCTTCATTTTTCTGTGTGTAATTCAATTAATATTTCATTATTATGCAAAGGTTATTAGGGACTTACATACAAAATATCTTTAAAATAACGTACTCATAGCTACCTTAAAAGAAGATGAAACTTATACATTTTCTATAATTTCTCAAGTTGTATCAGAATATCCATATAATATAAATATTTAAAGGCATACTTATCATGATTTTGTTACCTTACCAAAAAATCTTAGCTGCTGGTAATAAATTATATGCATCTAAAATAAACAATGTACTGCATCAGCGAATAAACAAGCTTTAAAATACACCTCTAAATACTTAAATGTTCATCACGAATGACACTTTTAATTTTAGGACGAGCTTGTCTATTTGAATATGACGACACTGAATAAACAAATAATAAACATTAAACAATATTAAAAGCTTTCACGTATCAACTCCTTAAAACATTTAATATTAATTGCATCTTTAAATTTTGGAAAAAATTAATATATATATATGTGTGTGTGTATAAAAGTAAACTTGATGCAATACATTTTGATAAAGATTTAAGTATCTAGCTAAGAACAGAACGCCCTACTTTCGAATAGAAATCTAAATTTTACTTACTTTAAAATTCGTTTGATAAGCCGTTAATGCTCAAAATTAGATAGACGAAGACATTTTTAGGTATTAAATATATGAAGAATATATACTACTGGTAACAGAAACAAAAAGACAAAAAGGAAATCAAGCAATATGAAATTCGTAGTACAACAAGCGATGGTCGGTTATTGTGATAAGTTCAATTATACTTTACTACGTTTTGAAAGTTTATTAATTTAGTCAAAATTATTATTCGGGAATATTTTTTTCTTCTGAATTTTATGTCCTTTCAGTGTATATTTTCTTTATAAAACACTAACCAGATATTAGAGAATACAGTTATTAAAAAACTGACAGTTGACCAAGTTTGAACAGCAAAGCGATGATAATGTTTCTTACTTCATTACATTAATTCAATAAAGCAATATATTGTTTCTTGTGAGGTAGTTCAAGGCAATAATATGTGTCAATACTTCCTGTGAATAACCCGTTTTTGATTTTTGTCTAGAATCTACATTACGGGAATCAAATGTATTATATATATTAGAAACTGTGTGGCTTTTACTTGCATCGTTTTTTTTTTAAACTTTTTATAGTGGATGTTCCTATTAGTAACAATTTTGAAAACTGAATGTCTTTCAATTTTGTTTTCTAAAAATGTCAATCATAGAAAGATACTAGAAAAAAAAATAAAGGCCCATTAATTCCTTAAGGTTGAAAACTAATAATTTCCTAGTAAATTTCCTAGTTATGTATTAAATTGTAATCCAATTCACCCAAAATAGAACTTTGAATAATTTGCGAAGAAAAATTATTTGTATCATAAATTCAAACCTGACTGAATCTTGGGTAACATATTTATGTTAAAGAAGTGTTTAAACTGGTTAAACATTTTGCGCAAGTAGCAATTGTGTTGTAAAATACAAACTAGAAATACCATTTTAATCCTAATTAATATTTGGAAATGAGATTAATAAATGATTTTTGATGTGAAAGTAACACATAAGTAACATTTAACGTTCTTATAAATTTGCTTTGATTACACGATAGGTAAAATTTTATATTTTGAGTAGACTTTAATGTCAAACTTTTGTGTAAAACTTCACGCCAAACGAAATTACAATATTTCAAATAACATTTTCATTTCCTTAGTTAAAATTTCAAAAGTGGCATTCATTAGAAAATGTAGACTACAATATTTATTGATAAAGATCCAATTTTTCCCCTATATCCGTTGTCCCACAAAAAAATTGGAGTTCAATGATGTTCGTCGAACATTCTAAGAAATTGTTCATTATATCAAAATCAGAAAAAAATTACCCTGTTTAAAAGGTGGTATTTTATGATAATTTATACTTAAGCTTATCTTGAGTCGCGAAATTATAAGTTAAACTTAATATTCCTAATATAAAACTTGATAGGTTGGATGCTTTCATACGTGCCCAAAATATGAGAGATTTGTTACAGTATTCATATTGAATGTCCGCAGAGATACAATTAATACTAGCTGAAAATAATTTTGTCCTAAAATATTTACAGACATTTACACACATCATCACGTGATAAGGAGGCTTTTCATGCTCTGGTGGGCAATTCTCAGTACAGGATTTAAGTTTTGTTTTCTTGTTGGATTTGTTTGAGAACAAAGAATCACTTCAAAATGGTATACCTGAAATTACTTGAAGATTTAGGATCATTAATGCTTTAATATGAGTCTTACTTCTCGATGTTGAATTAAGATATTTTGTCCTACGTTACCGTACGGTATAATCAAAATCTAATTTTTTAAAATTACTTGTAGAGTTCGAAACGAATTTGTTTCGCGTAAACACCAAGTTGACTTCAAAACGTTTTACCTTTGAAGGTAACCTTATAACAGCGTGTACCCAATGATGTGTAATACTTAATACTGAATTATTTTCAGGATTAGGTGTATTAATTCAGTGATTTCTGCTAAGCTACTAACTTTTAGTTTTATCTTGATTGTTTGTTTGTTGGGAATTTCGCGCAAAGCTACACGAGGGCTATCTGCGCTAGCCGTTCCTAATTTAGCAGTGTAAGACTAGAGGGAAGGCAGCTAGTCATCACCACCCACCGCCAACTCTTGGGCTACTCTTTTAACAACGAATAGTGGGATTGGCCGTCACATTATAACGCCCCCACGGCTGAAAGGGCGAGCATGTTTGATGTGACGGGGATTCGAACTCCGCGACCCGCAGATTGCGAGTCGAGTACCCTAACCACCTGGCCATGCCGGGACTTTATCTTGATAATGTAAATCTATTCTCTAAGTATCATTTTTATTGTGGGATGTCTCTGATAAGCTATATCATCATTACTAGAGCAAAATGAAGATATTTTCTAGATAGCTATCACCAACACTAAGCGCATTATTATAATATATATATATTCTGACAGCATACTATCCTATGTTTCATCACCAAACAAAAATTAGGACCATTCCTAGATGATTAACCATCAAATGATGGACGAAGGCGAAAATATTTCTCTAATATGATATCTTCTGGTAAATAAGTTTTTGTCCCATGTAAAAATGTGGTAGAGGGTAAAACATCTGGTGTAAATATGAAAGGTTTTGAACTTATCCTCGTTTCAGCCAGCATAACTTCATAAAAATGAGATGACTTCCAAATCACTTCGTTTTGGAAAAGTGTCTTCTCCAAACTAATTAAAACCATATTTTTTTTTTCTGTATGCCACACGCATTGGGGTTATTTTCCCCATGCACCAGTTAATTAGTAAATAGTCAGTTCTTCCGTTGACAAAGTTCTCTATATCTCAAATACTTTTCCATTTGAAGTTCTCGCATCTAAACAGAAACTGAACATTATAATGTTAACATTTAGTGTCTCACATTTTCGACCTTATCATTGTAAATCAGGTTGTGTACAGTTTATACGGATGGTACAATATATCCATGATTTCCTTCCGATTGGTTTGCGGTTGAAAATGTACCAGGAAATGGACGAATCATTGAACTCCTAAAGTTTCCAGCGAACGTAGATGAAGGTTTCTCTGCTGTAATAATAAAAAAGAAACAACTTAAAAATAGACTCTGTGTCAATACGTATGTTAATTCATTCACAATATTTATTGTTATACCTTTTAAGATGGCATTTCTTACAAAATTTTGGCGGCATCGTACTTAGATCGTTTTAACAAAGGATAGTGATAAGGCAAATTGTTGAGAAAACACCAACCCAAGATTGTATAACCGTTTTCGCTGTATTTCTCGGTTTGATTAAATGAATTATTTCTGTGTAATAGAGTCTCATTTATTTGTTTGTTTGAATTTATGCACAAAGCTACACAATGGGCTATCTGTGCTCTGCCCACCAAGGGTATCGAAACCCGGTTTCTAGCGTTGTAAGTCCGCAGACATACCGCTGTGCTACTGGGGGGCATGTAATAGAGAGCAACAGGAGCCATGTTTTTAGTTTGCACTTTAACTTAGATGCCACATCTTTTGATGAAGTATAACATCCTACATAAACTTTCCTTCACTATCCGAACGAACTTAAATTTTAATAATGGCTGGAGACGGCTTGAATGGGTAATGAAGAAAAACTTTAATATAAGTTTAACATAACAGCAAATGTACAACGTTTCGACAAGGTTTTGTCATCATCAGGTACTCAGGTACTCTGACATTTTCTTCATTACCCATTCAAGCCGTCTCCAGCCATTATTAGTCTCAAAGTGGGTTCCTCGTCATCGAATTTGAACTTAAATTTTGAAAAACAAAAGAGATGATATTTGAACGATAATAGTATATTTCGACCATATATGATTCTTCTTTAGTAACCAGGATCCACATGATTCTCCTATAGTAACCAGGATCCACATGATTCTCCTGTAGTAACCAGGATCCAACAGTAAATAATGCACTTACGTTTTTTTTTCTTGTTTCGTTTTTGTTGTTGTTGTTGTTTTTTTTTAAAACATAATAACTTGAACTTTTTTATGACAATCATATTTTAGAGCAATAGCGTTGGGGTCAACAGAAATATTAAGTTTTGAACTGAATATGTCCATAGTTATCATTGATACATTTTATTCAACCGTACAGTATTGTTTGTCTAATGGTTTTCAAGCCTTTGTAATGTTTTTCATTTATACAACCCTGAAGCTTTTTTTTATGTTTCTATTCACCTGCAAGTCAACAGAGGGCGCTAACCTAATATTCCTCCCATTAATGTTACGTATTCTTGGATTGTTTGCAGACATTCTTACATAAATTGCATTTTGGGTGTAACATTTAAAACGTATTTTCCAAATTCGCCCCCAGAGGATCTGAAAACACTAAGTACATAAATTAAACAACTGTATGGAACATTTCAACTATTTGTATATAAATTACTTAGCCACGAGAGACACTGTAAAATAAATGTACATATCACGATAGTCCTGCATCTCGAGACTAGTTCGTTAACATCTTTAGATTTCTGTGTATTGATGCAAATCTTAAATACAACATATCAAACACTATTAATTTCTCAGTAAGCCACTAAGATCTGTCAAGAAGAATACGTTACATAAGGTGTACTTATTTATAAATTATTCAAAACTGTTCATCCGATAGGAAATATCTTATTCAAAATTATTATTTTTGAACAAATATTGCAGCTCCTCAAATTTACCTAACTATTTATAAGAACGTGTAATTAATAAAACAGCATATTATATAATAACAATTTCCAGAGTATTAGGCTAAGGAATACGCGAAACGTTTTCAATAAGCCAATCATGCTATACGCGAAACGTTTTCAATAAGCCAATCATGCTATACGCGAAACGTTTTCAATAAGCCAATCATGCTATCGCCCAAATCTCAATATTTTTTCTTATTAATACATTTAATATTAGCTGGAGTAACCGACTGTAAGACGTTTGTAACAAAGGATAGGAAATTGTGTTTCATTTTTTTCTTAACATAATAAACATTAAAAGTGCCATAAAAATACATAAAGGTACCAATTGTGAAAACAAAGACATACAGTGGTTGCATAGTTCCTTCTAATGCTGAGGAATATACACCAATAGTTTTCCAAAATTAGATATGAAATTAGAGGGGGGGTCATCCCTCCTCACACACACACGACCTTCCTTATGTAATCCTGTATCACTGTGTCAAGAAATCTGGAAATGTATAAGGAACATATACACACACACGACCTTCCTTATGTAATCCTGTATCACTGTGTCAAGAAATCTGGAAATGTATAAGGAACATATACACACACACGACCTTCCTTATGTAATCCTGTATCACTGTGTCAAGAAATCTTGAAATGTATAAGGAACATACACACACACGACCTTCCTTATGTAATCCTGTATCACTGTGTCAAGAAATCTGGAAATGTATAAGGAACATACACACACACGACCTTCCTTATGTAATCCTGTATCACTGTGTCAAGAAATCTGGAAATGTATAAGGAACATATACACACACACACACACATATTGACATTTATTTATACGGTTTGTTTGTTTGTAGTTAAACACAAAGCTACACAAAGGGCTGTCTGTGTTCTGCCCACCACGGGTATCGAAACCCGGTTTCTAGCGTTGTAAGTCCGCAGACATAACGCTGTGCCACTGGGGGGTTTATTTATATAGATCTATAAAAACATCATTAGATTAAAAATAATTATAAAATCAACAAGTTGCTATAAAATAAAATGTTTTAAAGTAGAATAATACTGTGTCGTTGTTTGTTTGTTTCCCAATTTTGTTATGGCCTTGTAGTTAGGGCACTTGACTGGCACTCAGCGAGTCGTGGGTTGGAACCCCGTCACCAAACAAGCTCACTTTTGCAGCCGTGGAGACGTTAAAATTGGATGGTCAATCCTATTTTTCATTGGTAAAGAGTAGCCCAAGAGTTGGCGGTAGGTGGTGCTAACTAGCTGCCTTCCCACTAGTCTATCACTTCAAAATTAGGGACTCCTAGCGCAGATAGCTTTAGACTAGCTTTGTGCGAAAATATAAACAAACAAACCATATTTTTTAAAACATCTAAAATTTTATTTACTTCTGAATCTTGCTTACTTATAACCGTAGCCTACACAATCACCTGAATCTCATTACTAATTAGTTAGTAATCATCAATTTCATTATTACCGTGATTAATCCTGGTTATGTAGCTACTATTTTATTCATCAACGTTGTATTTCCAATTTTTTATCAAAGATTCATTATTAGCTAACGATTAAAGATTTGGCATTTTATAATATTCCTCAAATCTGATCATATACATGTACGTTAGTTTACCTAACATGTCAGCATTTCATACGTCCAACTTCATGAATTTCTTTATATTACCCCATATAGAATAATAAATCTTGAATATCTAGTTTTTAACTCTTAAAAAATACTACGTTTACTTTTCTTTCTCTCTTATTCTTAAATAGAGGTATAATTCCGTTCTGGATATGAAGTTGATAATCTAAATATTTTATTTCCTTATAATGAAATATGCTGGCTTTCTTAAACACTTAGAACATCTGAATCAGTATGTTAGTCATTAAATCATTAAACTTATCTTGGTAAGTGTGTGTAAGCGTTGTAGAAATAATTCAGTATAATGAGCGTGAAGTTCGTTTATAACAAATGTGGCTATGTACTGAATAACGACAAGCTTTACGTTTTCATGGGGACGGCACGGTTCAGTGGCTAGTGTTAATTCGAGACGTACTCGTGACATGCTGTTGTGTCCTTGAGCAAGACAATTTATCCCAATTGTTCCAGTCTACCCAACTGCATAATGGGCACCAAGAGCTAGCCCGCGGTTAACTTGAGATGGACTGTGACTTCCGTCCAGACTGTTACCTGTGTCATTGAAACTGGAGTTTAGCGGCAGCTCCTCCGTGCCATCTCGGACAAAGGATAGATGTGACTTACACTTAAGTGTTCTTGTATAGTTACAGTGAAGAAATTATTTTCATTAGTTACCTTATTACATTCTCGTTCGAATTTCCATATAAAAAATACTATAGCATGTATCTGTTATTACTCATATTTTTGTGCAAAGTTACACGATGAGCTATTTATGAGTCATTTATATTTCCTTGGATCCTTTTTTTTCTACTACTGAACAGATGATTTTAGCTTATCGTAACCTAAAAAGAAAACATCTTTAAAGAATTCTCTCTTCCATTCATAGCTACCTGATTTGACATTCTTCGTTTTATATATATATGTATAAACTCTCTGTTGTTGACTTTTGATGTGTGGTAATGCTTATTTTGACTAGACTTCAATGCAAAGGTACCTGTGATACGCGAGACTAAAAGTAACTTTCGTTTGGCATCAATTTCACGTATTTTGCTACCGACCTCATCACTAGGTTGAGCCTTCTTTCGCGGCATTAAGGCGGTTAAATTAAAATGGGTACCGAATTCAAACCGTTCGTCCGATCGCTTATCCATTTAAACTCGATAGTTTGGAATCCATTTGTGTTCTTATATGTATAATATATATATACTTATATCTAGGTAGATATATAGATTCAAGATTCTATATAACATGATATATCCAAGTGCTGTGCATCACTGTTTTACTTGTTTTGTTCATAAAATAATTATTTTATAATTTATTACTAACACATGGAACAACGCCAGGGTTTAGATAACAGCAGGTTTATTATTCCGAACACTTGTGTAGTGTGCTAGGTTTATTGTTGTTTTTCGTGTTTTAAACAACGTATTAATACGAACTCACATTTTGTGAGCTCTTAAACAAAATGTTGACATTTTAAAAACTCTAACTTCGAAAACACGAATAGACCTCGGATTGTAAACAAATAGTTGATAAATCTGAAATGGCAAACAAACAGTTGATAGATCTAGAATGGTGAACAGTCAGTTGATAGATCTAGAATGGTGAACAGTCAGTTGATAGAACTAGTATTGTAAATAATAACGTGATAAATTTGGTAAAAAATATGGTTGACTGATCTAGTGTGGTAAATAAACACTTGAAAGATCTAGTATGGTAAACAATTACATGATATATCTGGTATGGCAAACAAATAGTTGATAGCTCTAGTATGAATAACAAAGAGTTGATAGATCTAGTATGGTAAACAAATATTTGAAAGATCTAGTATGGTAAACAAATAATTGATAAATCTAGTATGGTAAACAATTACATGATATATCTGGTATGGCAAACAAATAGTTGATAGCTCTAGTATGAATAACAAATATTTGACAGATCTATTATGGTAAACAAATATTTGACAGATCTATTATGATAAGCAAATAATTGATAGATCTAGTATGGTAAACTATTACATGATAGCTATAGTATAGACAACAAATAGTTCATAGATCTAGAATAGAAAACAAATAGTTGACAGCTCTAGAATAGAAAACAAATAGTTCATAGATCTAGAATAGAAAACAAATATTTGAAAGATCTAGTATGGTAAACAATTACATGATATATCTGGTATGGCAAACAAATAGTTGATAGCACTAGAGCTATCAACTATTTGTTTACCATACTAGATCTATCAACTCTTTGTTATCCATACTAGATCTGTCAACTATTTGTTATTCATACTAGAATGGTAAACAAATAGTTGATAGATCTAGTATGGTAAACAAATAGTTGATAGATCTTGTATGGAAAACAAATAGTTGACAGATCTAGTATGGAAAATATATAGTTCAGACTTTGTATGATAAACAAATAATTGACAGATCTAATATGGAAAACAAATAATTGGCAGATTTAGTTTGGAAAACAAATAGTTGACAGATCTAGCATGGTAAACAAATAACTGACAGATCTAGTATGAAAAACAAAGAGTTGATAGATCTAGTATGGTAAACAAATAGTTGACAAATCTTGTATGGTCAACAAATAGTTGACAGATCTAGAATAGGAAACAAATAGTTGACAGATCTAGTATGGAAAACAAATAGTTGACAGATCTAGCATGGTAAACAAATAGTTGACAGATCTAGTATGGAAAATAAATAATTCACAGACTTTGTATGATAAACAAATAATTGACAGATCTAATATGGAAAACAAAGAGTTGATAGATCTAGTATGGTAAACAAATAATTGGCAGATCTAGTATGGAAAATAAATAGTTCACAGAGTTAGTATGATAAACAAATGACTGACAGATCTAGTATGGAAAACAAATAATTGACAGACTTAGTATGGTAAACCAATAATTGACAGATATATTAACGTAAACAAATAGTTGACAGATATATTAACGTAAACAAATAGTTGACAGATTATGGTAAGTAAATAGTTGGTAGATCTAATATGGTAAAAAACAGTTGATACATTTAGTATGATAAACAAACTCTTGATAGACTAGTATGGTAAACAAATAGTTGATAGTTCTAGTATGGTAAAGTGGTGAACAAATAGTTGATAGATTTAGTATGGTAAACAAACAGTTGATTGACTAATATGGTAAACAAACACTGATAGACTAGTATGGTAAATGCTTATTTAATAGTTTTGGTAAACAACTGAAATAAGTCCCTCGACAAACAAGCCGTTGACAGAACGGTAAAATAATAATTTATATATCTAGAGTGCCGTATGAAAACTATACCTTTGTCCCTGTGGTTCACAGACTCCTAATGATAGTGAGTATTCCAAATTAAATTAATATTTTATTTAAAATTTTCATTAAGTTACGTACTTATTGATATCAATGTCACTTTTATACATTGTAGGCTGAACTTCGGCAAACAAGCCTGTCTGGGTATGGCGGTCCGTGCGATTGTCTTTGGTTCGTGAAAAGTTCATAATGAACAGAAGTTTAAGAACCACTCACTGCTCTCTTATGCAAAAATGTACCAGTTAGTATTGGGTGCAGTACGATTTCTCATAAAACTGTCTGTTGCATAGTTTATGAAACTTTCTTGTACGTTTACAAAATAACGTGCAACGTGTCTTGATTTTTTTTTTGTCAGTGTAATTTGCTTCCAAACGTTTGAAACGCCGTCAAGTTTATATCGCGCTGAACAAAAGTTAAAATTAAACTAGAATCCGCCTGTTAGTTAGCCTGATATAGCGATCATGTACATTACGTTTATACCAACTACGTCTTTTAGATATTGACGAATAGTCTTAAGAACATTATTCAAAAGCGTTTTACATAGTTTGTAAGCAGCTGACGAGAGTAGCTCCTCACATATATGAGGGGTGACGAGTAATTTTTAAGATAGTTTACTTTTAAGAAATCGCCTAAATTAACTTAAACTTACGATCCAATTTATGTGCGACTGTACTGTGTGGTTTATGCGGATCCAAAAAAAAAGTCACTAATCTGTCCAAATCTTACTCTGACTTACACAAAACCTCCTTAGTGTAAAACCTGATTTTAACTTAAACTTTCTTTCATACAATTTGAATCGTGAAAAACATTTACTACTGCATTCACGAATTAGCTCAAAAAACATCATAGCTTAGTAAATCAAGTAATGCAACTTTTTTTTTATTTTGATATTAAAACAAATTTGTTATTGTTTTGCGGCAGATCATACGGGTTGGATCGATAAGGCTGCTTAATAATCTGCTGTCGTTTCTCCACACTTATTCAGTTATAATATATAGATTTTCAAATGAAGCTGTACACAAATCTACAAAATAAAGAGAAAACGCCATTTTATGATCGCGTTTTTACCCTCCTCACATACAGCAAGCTGACAATTACATTAGAGGACAGATCGTGCTTGTGATAGTCGCCTAGCAACAGTGCGCGACAGCTGCATGTGACAATGGTCTGTGTTCACGCAAGAGGACAATTTTTCTATCTCTAACGTAGACTAACACAGGTTTTACGTGGCTGTCATGCCCTTGCTTCCATCCTGGAACCCATTTCAATGAGTGGTAGTACCTCTACCACAAACTAAACTCGTGATATGATAATGCTTATGAGTCTGATTACATCATCCAGAAAGAAGTATTATAATATAATATTTATGCTTGGCAATGGTAACATGTTCGACAGATGAAGTCACCATTATTTTTACATAACTTTAATATGGAGAAACATCTTCATAACATTGGACAGAATAAAAGCAGTTTTTGTTGGTGTTAATAGCTATACCTGTCCTTTTTTCTTACTTTATCACTTTTTATTATTCTCCATTTGTAAATGTACAAGTGTACAACGAAAATTTAGATAAAAATCATTATATATTTCTTGGTTAAGGCTCATACTCACGTCCAGTTTGAGAGAAACGACCACTGTGGTGCGCTGACTGTCCAAAATAGCTGTATTGTGGACCAATGAAATTGGCAGGAAGAGATGATCCCAGCTGCAAAGATAAGGCTAAATTTGGGGGAGTTTGAGGAGGGGTGTCAGCTGGTGGGGGTATGGGGTTGAATATGTGGGTAGGGTTGGTTCCGTTGAAGCCTGAACTTGGCAGCCCACCGTAGGAGCTGAATTCCTGATAATACCCGTTAGTGACAAGTCTGCTTACTGTCGAATTAGGAGCTGGGTGACCATAGCTAGTTATCCGTATTCTAGAGCGGCTTTCAGTTGCTGAAACACTGGAAATATAGTGGCTATGTGAATCTTCCAAACCAGGAGACTCTTCATGAGATGGTACAGGAGTTTTGCTTGTGGCTGTGTCCGCAAGAGACCAGATCCTAGGTTTACTCGTAGGAGAACGCTTGACTCTATTGTCTGTATCTCCCTCGTGAGGGATTTCTGCAGGATGTACGAGGGCAGATAGGTTCGGAGATGGACTCTCCGATGACACAGCTGAAGTAAAACTGGTGGTTACGTTAGCCGAACAGGGCTTGCAACTGGGATTGGACTCAGAAGAGATATGAGGGTCAGATACCTTATAAGTAAGGCTATCATTATCAGCAGAGTAATCTTCTCGGTTGGCTGCTTCACGTGTTCTCTCTTCTTCTGAAACAAAGAATTTTTTTAATTATTTATTATATGATAACTAATACGTAAGGACGCCCAAATTATTCCATTCATTAACATATAGTGATCTATACAAAAACAAATCGAAAATAACTGGTAACATCTTTCATTCTGACTTAAATATGAAATTTTCTACATGCTTCCATAACTGTCGAAAAATCAGTAAATAATACTTTCTAATTTCTTCTATTTTCTAGCTTTAAAACAAAAGGATTAAAGCTAATGAAGAATTTCATTTCTTTATTATAGTATTTATTTTCTGTCGCCTGGGAGAAGGTGAATTTTTTCAGAAGTTGCGAGAAATGCTCGGGTTCCCTCGTCAACAAGGAGGATCAACTTATCTAGCAAAGTGTCGTGACTTCACTAGTATTTCAGTAAAAAAAAATATATATATATATATATATACATAAGATTTTCCAGGTTTTCTCCTATTATAAACGGCCCGGCATGGCCAGGTGGTTAGGGCACTCGACTCGTAATCTGCGGGTCGCGGGTTTGAATCCCCGTCCCACCAAACATGCTCGCCCATTCAGCCGTGGGGGCGTTATAATGTGACGCTCAATCCCACTATTCGTTGGTAAAAGAGTAGCCCAAGAGTTGTCGTTGGGTGGTGATGACTAGCTGCCTTCCCTCTAGTCTTACACTGCTAAATTAGGGACGGCTATCGCAGATAGCCCTCGTGTAGCTTTGCGCGAAATTAAAAAATAAAATGAAATAAGGAACATTTTCTAAAATTATACCAACAACAGTTCTGAGGATGTTCTTCGATTTCAATAGCATATTTCTTCCAACAGCTCTACCTACTTTATTTAGATCAAGTTTGTCAAACCAACTTCGTGCCATAGATGCTGGTCTTATAATAGTTTGAGTGCGGTTTTAGGGAGGCCGATACAATACTAAACGATGGTAAAGCGTACCATGGTTTTACTCCAATTTACTGGTTTAAAAAGAAAAAACACAAGTAACAAAAATTAAAGTAAAGATTAAGTGGTAACTAAGCATCAAACTCAAAGGTACTAACCATAAACTGTATTTTAGCTTCTTTTCATTTATCTATTTATTTGTAATTTTCACCTTGTGATTGGAGGACCAGTCGAATATGCCTCATGGGCCCCATTGAACAGTCCAGAGTTAGAATATATTCAGAAATCAAACATCACTACCCACGCTTCAGTTCTTCCAAAATATAAGGCCCGGCATGGCCAGGTGGTTAGAGTACTCGACTCGCAATCTGCGGGTCGCGGGTTCGAATCCCCGTCACACCAAACATGCTTGCCCTTTCAGCCGTGGGGTCGTTATAATGTGACGGTCAATCTCACTATTCGTTGGTAAAAGAGTAGCCCAAGAGTTGGCGGTGGGTGGTGATGACTAGCTGCCTTCCCTCTAGTCTTACACTGCTAAATTAGGGACGGCTAGCGCAGATAGCCCTTGTGTAGCTTTGCGCGAAATTAAAAAACAAACAAACAAATCCAAAATATAAGTTTTACAGCACAACACATTAATTTTTATACGATATAAGCATGAGCGTCATTTAACAACAGGGTTGAGAGAGGGGTGGGAGTCAAAGAAGAATGAACTCCCCCAATACAGCTGGAGAACCTATGTATATGTGTTAATCCAGCTTGACAAGAAATGTATCCCAGAAACTGCTATTTGGAGCTTGGAGCCTCCTAGAGATGGGGGAACCAAAAAGACGCTCCTGGATACAGATACAGGGATCTTGTCTTATGGAGCTTTGTTTGTTTCCACTTACGGCTTTTAGGTGTCACATAGTTAGCAGTTTTTTTTTTCCTATATTGATATTAGTCACATCTGTCACGTACCATAAACAAGGATTAAATCTGTAGTTTCAACAGTGGAAT